CCCACTTTGAAATGAGTACTGTATGTGAGTGGAATAAACTGGCACAAATTAAACATGGAATGAATTCTCCAGTACACATATGTTTCTTCACAATCACAGTGCTCTGCAGTTTAACCAATTTTTAAATCTAAATCCTTCACATAAAAGAGGTAGATCCATCAGAGTAGATGCAAAACTTGCGCTGGTGTAAACACATGTACATACATGTACGGAGACATCAGTTGATACAAACAAGAAACAGGCAAACATTATTGCTACTTCTGTATGTTGATATACTATACGTGATAAGAAAGCGAGATAGCAACAGTTGATTTTAAAAAAGCTTCCACGGTGGCCTGGAGTAATGCTCCAGTAACTATTTTCAGAATCATCAAACATATCGAATACCTTCAAATCCTTCAAGATGTCAAAAGGAAAACGTCTCTGAAACGTATTTCATGAACAAAAGCGGTTATTTGAAAGATTCGACACAAACCTCCTTTAACTTTGCACATGAAGAGCACGAAGGATCACTGGCACTTTCAACCGTTGTATCAACCATTCTCGAAGAAGACATTCTACTTTGGAAAACAAGTCACTTTGCTATCCATCTCATCTCTGCATGGTGCTCCGCCATTTTGACAACAGACCGATGGAAATCTGGGAACGAGAAAAATCTAGACACCAGTCTTTCGCGTTTTTCGATGTGCCTGGGTATCGGGAGGGGAGCGAGCACGGCTTACACGGGAAAGTTCCTCGAAGCCAGTCCAGGGTCGAAGCAAGGAATATTTGATCCTCGGCTAGAATGTTCTGTTTTTATTGTGATGAATGTCTCTTACGTGTACATCAATCTCAATTCGCAAATATACCACGTTTTAAGTACACCATGTTGTGTCAGCCTTGCAGTCTTTGACTTCTCATCGTTTTAGTTTTCAAGTTTGGCTGATTAGATCTCCTGCGAGCTCCAACGTTCAATCAAGCAGGATCTTCTTCCACGGCTTTGCAGTTTTATTTGTTTCAAAATTATGCTATGGAGGCGGCACCCGTGAGGTGTGGGGCAGGGGTAAGAAGCGCGGAAAAGGGTGGATGGCAGGGGGTGGGGGTGGGTGGGTGGTCAAGCTGGCCGAATCATAGGCCGCTGACATTCTCAGCGGCACCGGTCGTTTCCCCAAGTTCGCCAACGTATGAAGTCGATTCGTCAACGTCCAATGTCAGTTCGCCAACGCTTTTTGAAAAAGGTCGGAATTGTATTCACAAATTACCACAGGAATAAAATGTCACCTTTGATGTAAAATGACATGGGTTTTCCTAGGCTTCTGTCGTTTGAAATTGTTCATTTCACTCTCTCCAATCACTCTCTCTACCTACGCAACGTTGATAATACGTTACGTTACTGCCATCCACGGCTTTTATCTGCAGAGCATGATCCGCCTGTAAAACCTTTTATTAACGATTACTGCAGAAATTCTCGCACGCTCATTGGCTAATTGGCTGTCAATAAGAGGACAGACACATGAATTTACGGGCGAGAGCAAACAATTTGATAACTCGTTATCAAATTTGACAATTTGATAGTTTCGGTGTAGTTTGTTCGATAATCATGAGATTTGAGTGGGCTTCCTTTTTTTTAACGGAAGATTTCCTTTGTCTAGTTCAGCACTAGTTCAATGTCACGGGGGAAAAGGTACAAAGATCAAGTTGTTAAACTGACGTCAGTTTCTCATGTGCCCGTCCTGTGACTGACAAAGAATTTCGTAGTCTGCGGATCTACTCGGCTATCGCCTCGTGGATCCACAGCTACTTTGACAATGTTATGGCGAAATTAATGATCAATAACAGGAAAGACGCATGAAAACTGACGTCAATTTAACAAATTGATCTTTGTACCTTTTCTCCTATATTGAGCTAGTGCTGAACTGGACAAAGCAAATCTTTTGTTGAAAAAGGGAAGCCACTCAAATCTCAAGAGCACGGTTGGATGTTTAATTTTAAATTTGCAACTTGGACTAATATAAACACACAATCAAAACAAATCATTTCACTTCGTAATAAGAGCCCATGACCTTTCGAAGAATTTGAGGCGCTGGTCAGATACCAACCCTTTGTGGCCTGTTAGTAAAACTTCGTTCGTCACAGATATAATGACTGAGTAATTGCTTTAAATTCTTCAAAAAGAGATTGTAAGATTGCGTGACCAAAGTTACGTGACAGAACTGCTGAGCGCTTACCTACCTTATATGACGTTCCTTGTTCATCTGTCAAGACATCCAAGACATGTGAGATTCCGATGTCGCGCGCGTAAATACAAGTTTTTTCAGCGATCCAAACGACGGCTGTTTGGCAATGTCTTGGAAATGTTTGCTCTTAGGAGGCATTCTTCTTCACTCTCTTGTTGTAGTTTATTCAAGAGACGAGTTACATAAGATTGACTTGAGTAATCAGGAGGCCATTTGCAATGACAATTCACGTGCTGTGATTTTTATCGGACTACAAACGACCAAGAAGTGGATTATATTCTTCGAGAGTGGAGGACTTTGTACATCGAAAGCGGACTGCAACCAACGATATTTGAACAAGAACTCGACAGTGTTAATGACTTCCAAGCTACTTCCCTATAAAGTAATCGGCCGAGATATCTTGTCATCTTCGAAAAGCGAAAACCCGGCATTCTTCGATCACAATCATGTACTTGTTCCGTACTGTAGCAGTGATTTATGGCTCGGATCAAAGAACAAGACAAGCCAAAACGGATCATTTAATTTTGTGAATGATTCGTCCGTTGAAAACTTCAGCTTTAAAGGCCGAGCGATTTTTCGGTCGGTATTCAAGGAATTAGTTCAGAAATACAATCTGTCTGTCGCGGAAGAGATCGTGGTTTCGGGAAGTAGTGCTGGCGGGATAGGAGTTTTGAATCACGCCAAATGGCTGAAATCTCAGAATTTTTCAATTAATGCCAGACTTCTATTCATAATAGATTCAGCATGGTTTATAAATTTCCAAGGTGGCATTACGTCCAGAGTGAAACGAGAATTTGCCTCACTTGTAGGCCTTTCTTCGGAAGCTTGTGCAGATATTTCGTATGGCTACTCCTGCTGTCTTTCTGCGTCATGTTTGATTACGCGCGGTTTCGTTCCGAGTGACGTTCAAACAGCCCTTGTTTTTAGCCTGTACGATATTTACATGTTTGCAGACGTGCTGAAACGACTAGAAGATGAAGGGAAAACGGCGGAAAATCATGTGGCGGATTTTTTATCAGTTGTTAGCATGTATGGAGGAGCGATGAACGAATCACTTGAAATTTCCAACAGAAGTCTAACAAGTTTCTTTGTCCCTGCTTGTTTTCAACATACTTATTTCAGCACGTCCAGTTTGTGGGACGAAGACAGTGTGTTGCGTCCTTTGATTGAGGTCACTCGAGACAATGGAAAATTCAGGTAACATTGTTGATCGTCCAAATTATTTCAATATCGCTTGGCGTTTTTTTCATTTTCTAAACCGGCTTTCATAGCCCCTAATGAATTTTAGAAATTTGGCATTTTAGAATTTTCATAAGGTAAGCATATGTACCACTGCAACATAAAAGCATTCCTGAAGATGGCGACCGGGGGAAGGTTTATACAACGGAAAAAGATGATGACAAATGAAATGCAGTACCTCGTGCTCATTATCGATTGTCATGCAGCCATGCCCAATTAATAGGATTTATTATGTAAGTCGACATTTCAAGAGTAAATGAGGGGGTGGAGGTGGCGGGAGAGGAAGTGTATATCCATGTTTCATGCTTTGAGAACCATCTCATTTTGGGACCCAAATTTTGGGGGTGAATGATCCAATATGCCTCATCATTTTGTCTGCATAGCACCGAACAAGTATATTTTAAAGCAATCGTGTTCTTCCGTATAGATATCCAACTCGAACATCATGTTCAACATCTTTTGTGTAGTTCCAGAAAATATCTATATCTCACCCATGGAAGGGATTTTTTTCTAACCCCTCCTCCCCTGCACAGATGGGAAACAGATATTTTAGAGGGATAACCATAAGCTTTTCTTCAATTTCAATTGATGCTGACTTTGTGTTCATTCATTCGTAGCCTAAGTCGATTCTGCCAAGAGAAGCGAGCTGATGNCCCCCCAAGGAAATTCCAATCCCTTCTATGGAGGGAGTATAAATACTTTCTGGAACTGCACATTGGAGAGGTCTTGCTCACGTTAGATGTCTAGTGTAGAAGTGTCTTTCTTAGTGTAGTTTGTGACCCTTCCCTTTAGTCATAGAGTTAAGAGTGGAACGTGGTCTTCTACAAAAATCCAGCAAGGGGATACTAGCATCAGCATTCAAGATTTCCTTTCGAAATGGGTCAAGTTGAGCAACACAAGTTCCATCAAACATATTGACAGCTGTATTGGTGCTCACTGTAATCCCACCTGCCCCGACAAAGTGGTTTTTCAGGATATAGGCGAGGTCTGGCGTGAGATTGTGAAGGCGGTAATCATTGCATTATCCCTAGTGATCACCATAGTTTGTTTTGCATTAAAAGCAGGCTTTGTGTGCTATTACCATTACTTGATGAAAAGACAGACAAGATACTTGAATGACAGTGAAACTTCTCAAGCTAGAAAGGAGGTAGGAAACTGTTGTTCAAAGAGCACCCTCTTCCAAATCTTGCCACACCCATTTTAATGTGTGCCCAACCCCCCTCCTTTTCCACCCCAGCCTCAACTATACCTGACTTAATTTCCATCTTCTTTTAGTTTCTATTCTTACGTCATGTCTATTAGCTCTAATGTGTCCATAATAACAATGAGTGGCCCGTCATACAGTACATTTTTTCCCAGCTTTCGTAAAATAACATTTTTCAGGTTTTTATGCTTTAAAGCAATGTCATAAAGAGAGTGAAATGACAAAAAACAATACTTTTTTGAATTTATGACAACCAAGGAAGGAAAAAGAAAAAAGTAGCAAGTCGTTTGTTATTAAATATTTGACAGCAACCTGTTGTATTCATATGTCCTTGTATCGATAAATCCCTTGCATCATCTTGGAGAGTAAGAAGTGAATCGATTATGTGTTTGCTTGTCGACCAAAGGAAATTAAAACAGTTTTGATTGCGCTATTCGCGTGATGCCTGAGAAGCTTCGTATACAGGATATTAGCGTGATTAGCTGATTTTATTTTCCGTGAAACGTCAATTTGGTAAATTATTCTTCGGGATCCGTGACCTGAAGGTTTTGCGTGATCCGTGAAGTACTTGAATCACTGACCGATATTCGTGATTTCAACACTCTATTCTTCATGAGTTTGAGACGCGAGTCCTCCGAATGGTTAGAGTCGTCTATCGAAAGTGATTTAAGTATGCGTTTTCAATAAGGAGCCTTTACTTAACCTTTCACGATTTTGCTTGCTTTCTTTGTGTACTTTGTCTTAGTCAATCGTTATTAATCGGAGTCGAGAAATTAATTGACACATTTAACTGTCTTATTGAAATGCCGGCCTGAGAAACCTAGCTCAAGACATTTTCACCACGCCAGAAGTGTTACAGTAACCAATTGATTTTTTTTTTTTTTTTCAGTCGATAAGCCAATGAGGTTTTCATCCGTCAAGAATTGATACAAAATCAAACAGTTTCAAGCACCTTAAATTAAAATGCCCACGAAACTCCTGCTCGGTTTTTTTTTTTTTTTTTTCAGTAAACAGAAACTTCAAAATAACTGACAGGCAGTTAATTAATGAAATTCTGAAGGCGAGCTGACTGATGTGGATCTTTCAAAATTATTACAGAGGAAAATTTAGATTGGAAACATAATTACCCCTCCACCCACCCCTCCCCTCCTAGTAGTTATCTCGATCTACATAATAGATTATGAGCTCGAGATTTCTACTGCGCCCTCGTCAACTATCACGCATAGAAATAAATGAAAGGGAATAATCTAATTGCTTTGGTGGAAATACACCAGTCGTTCAAAACTGTATCTAAATCCTCTTCACAGACACCTCCAAAACGCAGAGAAGCAGCCACCATTTTGTTAACAAGCGCACACTATTAGGCTACTCACTATCTACGACAGAATAGAAAGTGGGTAGCGTAGTCAATCAGATAACGGCATTCGTGATAGAACGCTAGTAGATTTTTGAGCAATAGAGAACATTTCCCGTGTTTTCTCCCAGAGTTGGGAGAGTTCGAGACAGTTATGCAAACCCGTGACGTAGTCGAGGGTTTGCATAACTTTCGAGAATTCTCCCAGTCCCCCGAGGTTTTAGATGAGGCTATGTACACACGGAAAAAAGTGCTCTATTGCTTTTATAAAATGATTCTCAAAAATACGCGCGAATCTTAAACGTCACGACCGTTTTTACATACTCTCATCTAAACACACCTATCGACCAATGAGAGCGCGCGTGGTAGCTCAGATATTTTATAAATGCTAATTATGCATACTTATAAAGTGTATTGTACGTGTATTTGTGTTCTAGCTTCCACTCTGCAAGTCCGATGAAACTGTTAGCATTGCCTGCCTATCATTGACTTACACAGTAGATGTGACCAAGAAGAAAGTGAAGAAAAGTGACAATGGTGAGAATTATTTATTAAAAGACTTTCTTAGCTCTTGTGGTTTGTTTTCACATTAAAGATAACGGGATATTCCGAGAAAATTGATCTTTTATCCACCTAAAGATTTTTCATTCATGTGCGCGCGACTATTTGAAAATCTGTTGGAAAAACTTCTTAAGAGTATCATTACATAGTCTGAATGGAGCAACAAACCGGCCAAGCTAAAAAAGTTCTATAGTTAGATTTTCCTTAGTTGTGCTTTCTTGGTTGGAAATTACTAACTCTTGGTTTCTTTATCAGATCCTGGCTCTGATGAAAACAGCAGCGCGTCCAAAGGAGACAGGGACAGTAAAACGTCATCACTGGTGGTTCCAGATTCAACCACCGATGAAGACTCTGGCAGTGACTTACAAGAAGAGGATCAAGAAAATAAAAAAGATGAAG